CTCTTTAATATAAAAGAAAGATGTCAAGTTGGTAGAAGAAATGGAAATGAAAGTCTGAATTAACTGAGGGAGTAGAAGAAAGAGGGAGTACACACCTACTGACTCTTATATCAATCTCCTAAAGTCTAACACTCTATAACACAGATTGTTCCTTTTTTAAAACATCACATTTTTTTACATTAGGAAACAATAACAGAACAGCATCATACTGTGTACAGCAAGTCCAGGATTTGAGAACTTATCCTGTTGTCATCTGTGGCCCCAGAGATTTATTTTGACTATACCCTGCAGTGAGATCTGTATCTCAGAGGGACTTTGCTAGTATATGAAGACAAAAAGACAGTTTCTGAATGAGAATAGCCTTTCTTTTAGAGATAATCTATAATGTGTATAATTGACAGTAACAAGATGAGAGAATTTAAACATAAAACTCCACATCTATCCAAGTTTTAAAAGTATATGTGCATTAGAATATAAAAAAATTATGAGAAACCAACAGGTGCATGTCACTTCAAGAATAGAACATCATTTATATAGTTTGCTATGTATATATTATTAAGCAGTTTAGACTGGCTTCAGATTTGAACATCAGGGACAATAGGATTGTTGAGAACCTGATATTAAGAGAAGAAGAAATTAGTGGAAAATATAAAGCCTACATGCCAAAATATCAAATCTTTTATCTACATTTTTGAGTAAGTAATTGGGAAGCAAAGACCTCTAACATTCCCACTTTAGCTCATATAATTATAAACATACTTCATTTCTATATCTTATGTAAATATATTGTGTAAAATAGATATGCCAGATATACTAAATATTTGAAATGTAATATATTCTCATAAAATCAGAATAAAAATTCCTACCATATAACATTTTTTTTTTGAGATGGAGTTTCGCTCTTGGTACCCAGGCTAGAGTGCAATGGCACAATCTCGGCTCACCGCAACCTCTGCCTCCTGGGTTCGAGCAAGGAGCTTGAACCCAGCCTCAGCCTCCTGAGTAGCTGGGACTACAGGCGCACGCCACCATGCCCAGCTAATTTTTGTATTTTTAGTAGAAACGGGGTTTCACCATGTTGGCCAGGATGATCCCGATCTCTTAACCTCATGATCCACCTGCCTTGACCTCCCAAAGTGCTGGTATTACAGGCGTGAGCCACAGCGCCTGGCCACCATATAACATTTTTATAGAAATTAAATGAGTATTAATATGTGAAATCAGCTTAAACTGCCTGGCATATAATAAGCCCTCAGATCAACATTACCTGTAATAATGATATCAAATAGGGAAATTGCTATTTTAGCTCATAAAAGAAAGATTCAATATTTCTGAGGGGTGTTAATATTAGACATAATGTGAA